GGAGACCTCTGACCTCATCTGCTACAGCCGCACTCCTGGGCAGTGCTAAGGGCAGGGCGTCGGCCCGGTATCTATTTTGGTTCGGTTCAGGCCCAGGTTCAGTTGCAATGAGGGTGTTTGGGTCCGGGTCTGGTTCAAGCCACCAAAAGACAATAACAGTTCGGTTACCAGCTCAGCTCAAATCTCAATATTAGTGGGCGCAAACTCCAAAAAGAGAGTCAAAACGGAAAACGGAAACTCTTCTGATTGTTTGACCATTCATTTATTTGTTAACTTTCATTTCACAGGAGTTTTCCTAGTGTTTTTTGGGCTGTCGAACAAACAGTCGTTTTTTTATGAACACTTTGCGCGAACTCAAGAACCATCTTCTGACACCTGCGCGGGCGTATTGGACCCGAGCGGTGAAAAGAGACATTGGAACTTGGGGCCTGGGGCAGTTGGCGTGAGGAGCTGCCCCAGGGGGTGGGGATGGGTAGAAGGAGACCTGCTGGAGGAGGAGAAGGATTAATGAACCGTTACGTTTCCCCCTGGGTTTGAAGAGTTATTGCTAAGGGACAATCCCACCTCTTCTCTCCCTGGGCTGGAGTCTCAGAAAGTAGTCGGCTAACTCTGGGCCTCCCGCTGCCTCCCTCTCCCTCCCTGCTCTTGGGGGCTGGCCTCCTTCTAGTCTCAGCCCATCCACATCGGCCTGGGCCAGGCCTTTCTGGCCGCAATCACATGCCTCTTGCCTTGGCTTGGCTACTAACAAATGTACGATCCTAGCAGCTTTTTTAAAAGTGAGCTCAAAAAATGCTGGCCCTTTCTGTTAGCCACCTTTCCGGGGGGTTCGGCAGGCAGGAGAAAATTCTGGGTCTGGTTCAGGTAGAAATACTGGTTCAAACTGGTTCTCCTGCTCTGGTTCGTCTCCCTGCTAACAGAGAAGGAAGTGAAGCCACGAGACCAGCAGCAGAAGTGGCGGGCTGCAGGCGAGCCAGGAAAGGCGCACCCAGGGCTATGCAAACCCCGAGAGGGCGCATGCAAACAGGTGGAGGGACAGACCCAACCGGGCTGGGGCGGGGAGGATGATGGTGTTTGTTATTACGACTTCAAGCCAGAGGGTGCGGCAGAAGCACCCCCAGTCCCCTTGCTGCTGTGAAGGGCCAGCAGGCCCTGCGTGTCTCTCCAATGGCGCCAGCTCCCTATGCAAATCCCGGGGCTCGCCCATTTGCTTAGCAAAGAGGTGGGTGATATGGAAAACAGGACACGGCTCCGAGATGGCATAGATAGGGGAAGGGACAACGCAGGCACCAGGGCCAGGGGTGTGAGATATGAGCCCCAGGACTGACTGGGGGGCCCCAGGGAAGATTCAGGGCACCAGGAGTTGGAAGGAAGCCCTGTGGGGGGAAGGGGACCCCACAATCAGGGCAGCAGGACTCCAGAGGGGAACAGGACGCATCCAAATGGACACCCACATCCAGAGCTAATGGGGGGAGAATAGGGGTGCTGCAGGCTGACACCTGAACTCAGGTGGGGGGCATGCAGGCAACAGAACCTCCAGGAAATGTATAGACAAAGGAGCGCCCCCTTTCCATTCCTCGCACACACACAGAAGGGGGTCCCCCTCCTACCACTGCCTCTTGTGCACCGTGCTGGTTTATAATGACGCACTGGGACTCGGCGATCGAACCAGTGGCTGCAGGTCCCCAGAGACCTGACGGGGACAGAGCCGTCGGGGGCCCGTCTCGCTCCGCTCTGGCATCTGGCTGTTCTCCAGCCCACGCCGGCCTGGCCTGGGTGGTGGGGGCACCCTGGGGCGGCCACAGCTCAGCTGGGAGGAACATCAGCAGAGTGGGGTGGGGGCCCGGAGTGGAATATCTGGGGGGGGCTGGGGATCAGGATTGGGGGGTGCTGGTGGAGACGTTTGGAGAGACCTGGCCCTGGATGTCCTTGCTCTGTTCCCTTCCCTCAGCACTAACCTCACTCACAGCCACTGGACATAAAAAACGGGCTGGTCTCTCCGTGGCGTGTCCCAGCCCCCTCAGGGTCCTTCCCCCACCCCCAGCTCCTGGGCAGGGCTGGATCCGGGTCCGGAGAGTGATGGGACAAGGCTCGATCCCAACACGGCCATCCCCAGAAATCGCCCGCTAAACAAGGAGGGAGCCCAGAAACGGGGCCCTGGAGCTGGCTGGTGGGGCAGGCCCAGCCGGGATGGAAGTTCCCCACGAGGCCTGGAAACAGCGTCATGGAAAAAAATAAACAGTGGCAAAGCAGAAGAGCTGCGCTGTGGGATAAACAGTGGGTGGGAACATGCTGCAGCGACCGAGGAAGTGGTAACCGGACTATCCACTCCAGGAGAGCCGGGATCCCGGGCTCAGCCGACTCCCTCCCCCGTTCAGCAGGGCTCCCCCCGCTGCCAACCAGTGACGCACAAGCAGGACGAGGAACAGGGCCCAGCAGCAAACGCATTAGCCCACAGCGGGAGGCATTGGGCTGAGTCCAGGATCTGGGTTGGGGGGGTTAGTGTGCCCAGAACTGACCACTCCAGGTGCCGGGACCCCGCCACATGGGATCCTCCTTCCCTGCTCCATGGCCTGACGCTTGTGCCTCTCAGCGGGAGAGGTGGTCTGAGGTGGACATGCATGAAGCCAGGCTGAAGGGCACCTAGGCCCGAGACGGCCCTGGGCACCAGCGTACAGGGGGCGAAGGTGCCTGAATCCCATAGGCTCCTCTCCCCACCAAGGAAGGTCTCCAGCCAGTCACTTTCTGTCTCCGCC